AAATCTTGATCTGCATGAATCTAAAGTTATTATAGATTAACATATTTCTATTCATATATCTAAGAATTTTAATGGATGTTAAATTCATGTATTGGCAATTAATTCTTATGTGCCAGATGTAGTATAAAAAGGTTGTTCATTTGTAATATTTCAAGCCTATTTGATCCCCATTTTTGGTGTAGAATGTATTTTGAAATAGTAGATTGATGAAGAATATGCGATTAAAAAATAAAAATAAAAAAGTTTTAGATTTGCGTATAATATTATTTTATTGAATAATGAGTGGTAGAAAGAAGAAAGTGAAAAATATATTTTGAAAATATTGCGGATCAAACAAGGGAGTCATCATCAAAAAAGTTTGAAACATATCATATTTTCCCAACAAATTGATATCAAATATTACTATTACAGTACTTATAAAGTATTTCAGAATAACAATGCATTTTCAGCTCTGACTAGTAATTATAAAACATCACTCCTTACCCTTGGAGGTTGGCTTCCATAGGAGCAATATTGTGCCAAGACTGACCTCTTACTAAGACTAAACTTGAGTTATGTGCTGCATTAGAAAATATTCCTTGATATTTGCTGGAAAGCCCCAAATACAACTTAAGGGAACCAACCAGCAGAATATGCAATCTTTATCACTTACGTAAACACACCCTCATAAATAATATAAGAAGACAAGGAAAAGCATTAACAGCGATACAACAAGGATACGACCTATTTCTCTTCTTGTACAGTCACTCAGAAGCCCATCAACAAACAGAATGTTTGACTCTCCAGATGTGACTTGATTACCCTCAACCCCTCTCACAGAATTGGGCCTTTCATAAGTCACATCAGGGATGCCAGGACTAATGCTTGGAGCAGCAACTCGTGGATGACCTAGTAAACTTGGATCTTGTAAAGATGGGTAAGGTTTAATGCTTGCTCCAGCCTTTGATCCATTAAGACCAGATTCATGATGAACACTAGCAGTATCATCTATGCCATAAGCACCTGGACGTGATGATAATATCTAAAAACAAAGCCAAGATACAACCTGTTCATTGCATGTATTAAATATCTTGGCAGAAGACCAAATTGGGGGTAATACTTACATCTTTCTGTGTGAAATCGGAAAAACTACCCTGCAAACTGTTGGAGCTATATAGATTACGAGTTGATAATATAGCTGCTTCAGATGATGAGTAGCCAGGAAAGCTTGGGGGAAGAATGCTTCCTGTTACCATGTTACTAATTCAATCACTAGTTTGAATGAATAACACATGAACAATAAAATATGAAGTGTAAATAATCTTCGCAAGAGATCCAGCTATCTTTTGTATTTAAAAGCTATTAGTAACAAATAGGATGATTAAGTTTCTGTTGTACAAGAATAAAGTCTTTTCAAAGATTGTGTGGAAAGCTCTTATGTAATAAATTAGGCACATATCACTGCAAGTTCTTCAAAACTCGTTTACTCCTAGAAATGGAAAATAAAACCAGAGAACCTTTTATTTACATATCTGCTCTGAAAACAGTAACTAGAAAGTCATTGTTCACCGTAAAATAATCAATCGATGCTCATCGTGTTATAGCATAAATATTCCATCATTGTCCTTTACATAAAGTTTCATCCACAACCATTTACCAAGTTTCTTGTTAGTACAGCCTAAGAACTTTCCACCAAGCTACTTTTAGTAACTGGATTGCACCCCAATTTTCAACTCCAATTCCCAGGCAGAATCTCTTTTGTATTTTATCTAGCATGTATGCCAGTAATATCCGAAAGAAATAAAATATATGTAGTGTGTTCTAATAAGGATTGATTGCACTACCACTATATCTTAACATTATCAGATCATAGTTACAAATAACTGTGCTGCTTCTGTCTTAAGCACTAGGATGTCCACTTTAAAACCGTGTACAATAAGATTATCCTGAACGCACAAGACCATTCCCAACAAAGAATTCTGCTTCCAAAGTCATTCCAAGGACCTTAGACATCTATGAGTTCCATAGAGATCTACCATCAACAACTTGAAAAACGAAAACCCAACAAGCAAGTTCACTACAATCCATAAGCTAAATGCATAACTCTATCGTGAAAAACAATATTTCAGCTCATTATGTTTGTGTATCGATAATACTCACTGAAACAAACAAAAAACTCGAGATTACAAGGACCAAAATCCATATACAAAGAAGACTATTTCAATTATTCCCAAAAAGAAAAGGACCATTATCACCTTCCTATCAGCTAATTCACTGATAAACTACGAACATTGTTCCTCAGGAACAGATTCACCTTTTATCTTCTTTACGGGGTAAATTTTTTTTGCGGAAAATTAATGAAGCAAAAATCTTTATTATTCAAAAATGGTGTCAAATAAGTGATTAAAGAGAACCGTTTCTAAACCCTCCGTCATTCTCACCTTTACATTGTCAACTGTTAGTACGTACATAAAGAAAATTCGAAATCAAAGTTTCATTTGTAAAGTTTAATACATTACATAAATTTCAACGTTACTATCAAGTGTTGATTGCGGATACATACAAGAGTGTGTGCGTATAGGAATGTCAGAATTGAGGTGATAAAAATTTAATAACAAACCTCCGTCAGCAGATGATGGCAGAAGAGCAGAAGGACCAACTCCTCCACCGCCGTATCTCCAGTCGGTATCCCCCATTTCAATTTGTCCTTCGAGTTAAAACAATTTTGTGCGTTCGGTCCCTATTCTGTTTGCTCAGACCCTTGTTTGGGAATGGGTGAGATTTTTGTGTGTGAATTTTTCTACTTTTTTATTTTATTTTTAGCCCATG